TGGTTTCTGTTAAATTCAGTTCTGGTGAATGCATAATGCACCACTTTAGGGAGCTCTTAGGATAATGAATGAATGAAGGGAGTGTGGAATGCAGAACACTGAGGAAGCCTCCGAATGTTCATTTAGTCTCTGAGAGCTGCCAAAGTGATTGCAAACCACTTCAGAGGGTGCACCATAAGCATGATTCAAAGAAGGACCTGCTCTTCAGATCGGAATTAATTATCAATTGTCCTGAGTAAAGAAATGCTCCTAAGTTCACCACAGTTCCCCAAAGGTGGGCACAATGCTGCCTTCCAGCCCAACACTTCCACTGAAGCACACATCTAACATTGTGAACCTGCATCAGGTTTTTGCTTAAGTGAATCAAAAAATTATGAGAGCAGTCCAACAGTTTATCTTTGCGGTGCAATGCACAAATAGTTAATTATACTTAAAACCATTCATTATTGAGCTAGCACAATGTCAAAGGTTGCTTCAGTGATAACGGTTTCAGCTAACCTTTGATGTTTGCAGTCCCATGCAGCAGCTTTATTTTCATTTTTTAAAAAAAAAATTCTAACAGATCTATAACAAGAGCCTACAGGCTAAAAAATGGATTATATTTATTCCCAATAACATATAAATCGTTCCTAAAACACCTTGTGGAATGTACTTATTAAACTACTTTTAACAGTTGGCATACCAAGGGAGCCACCTGGCTGTTGATCATTAGCTACCTAGGCTGAATGTACCTGAATTTCTTTCAGCTGGTTTGAGACAAGCCCACAAGCTGGTGTCTGCCAATCAGTCACCCAGCTTTTGTCTCTAGTTATTCACAGGAGACTGCATGGCAACATTTTTCAGGGTGTTCCTGCTGATCAGGCGAGCAAACATAACACTGGTACGTCATGCAAGCACCCAAGCAGGTGTTTGAGCAGCCCCAAAGTGAAGAACTTACCTTTTGCAGCCACTGAGTGTAATTCTCCATGACATGCTCCAGCCGCTGCAGCTTCTGGGAGGAGAAATCTGGTTCCATGTGGGGGGCATCCCTTTGGAGCGCATTGGCGTTGTATTGGTCAGAGGCGCTGTCACGACAGTTCCCGTCCTGTTCAGGAAGTATGAACGTATAGGTGCACTGGCCGTGCTGAATCCGATTGTACCTTCGTGCGCTGGACTCCGGAGCCCGGCGTGGACTACTGCAGCTTATGGGCTTCAGAAGAGAAGCGAGGAACACAGACCAGAAGAAAATGGTCATGTTACTAGCCCTCTTCTTTCCTGCTCTTGACACCTTTATCCAAGCCCTCTCCTTGTTCCTTTTCCTTCCTTTCCCTTTCTTTCTAATATTTGCCTTGCCTTTAAGGATTTCTTTGGGGAATTAGAAACTAAAGAAAAAGGGAAGAAGATTCAGAAAATAATAGCAAGCCCTTTAAAAAAAAAAAAAAAGATTATTTCAGGGAATCTAAATGCTTCCTTAGCTAAAGCAGGAGCAATTTATTGCATAGTAGCAGAGATTTATCGTTTCCTCTCTGTTACACTTCAGCATGCGGGCTCCTGGACTCGGCTGCCCAGGCATAGCCTCAGAGTCTTTCTTCTGCTCTAGCTGCGGCTGAACTGCTATTTTGTCGGAGACCTCAGTGTGTTTTATTAAGGTTGTACATTCAAGCCAAGTTGGAAGCTGGCAGCTTTTCACAAGATGACTTGACAGGAATGTGTGTGTGAGTGTGTCCGGGATGCCTGATGCATTTGGCAAAGAGGGATCATCTTACACTCTGGCTTGAAACATGCCCTCAGACATGTACGCCTGATTAGCTCCTCCTGCGCACAAGATGACTGAGAGCTTTTGCATACATTGAACCAGTCCGACAGTCCACCTTAATAGACTTCCTACTTGGAGACTGAACTATTAAAATGTACTTAGAGGGACCAAGCTTGTTGTAATCCCTCCCCAGTAAACATTAACATACAGACCACTGCACAAGGAAAATATCAGTTGCTGTCCTAGAATGGCTATCAGACCGTGCGACTCTTTTAAGAAATGCAAAATTGGGGAATGAATTGTCAAATGAAGGGGAAAAAAGCTGAGACTGCCAGTCCAGCAAGATGGTTTCTTTCACTAAAGCACAGGAACTCTGCTATATCAGAGATGTCATCAAATGTGTTAAACGGTTCTTCAGAAATAGCCATCCCTAGATAATTTCTTTGCATGTTGCTACAAGATTGAAAAAGCGCGTGCATATTT